AGTTTTGTGAAAAGACAGTGGGGAGAAAAGTTTTTGGGTAGATAGAAGGGGAAAAGAGGGTAACAAGTGGGGGAAGGAAAAAGAGGGTAGCCAGCGGGAGGAAAACAAGATTTTGCAAAAAGACAGTGGGCAGAAAAGACAGACGGTGAAGAAAGAAAAGATGGTGGGTAAAAAGAGTTTGCGTAGATGGAGGGGGGAAAGAGGGTGGCGAGGAGCAGAAAAGAGGGTGGCTAGAGGGAGCGGGGAAAGAGGGTTGGGGAAAATAGTTTGGGGTAGATAGAGGGCAAAAAAGAGAGTGGCAAGCAGGATAGGGCAAAGAAGAGTACGAGTGGGAAGGGGGAAGACTTTGTGAAAAGACGGTGGGGAAAATTTGGGGAGATAGATGGAGGGGAAAAAGAAGGAGGTGAGCAGGAGTAGGGAGCAGGCTTTGCGAAAAGACGGTGGGGAAATGTTTTTAGGTAGTTGGAGAAGGGAAAGAGGGTGGCAAGGTGGAGCGGGGGGAAATACGATGAGGAAAACAGTTTTTGGGTAGATGAAAGGGGAAAAGAGGGTGGTAAGCAGCAGGAGTGGGGAGAAGGCTTTGGGAAAAGATGGGGGAAATGTTTTTGCTTAGATGAAGGAGCAAAAGAGGGTGAAGAGAGTGGGACGGGGGAAAAGAAGGTGGCCAGGGAGAAGGGGAAAACACGGTGGGAAAAAACAGGAAAGTGTTTGTGTAGATGGATGGGGAAAAGGGTGGTGAACGGGAGAGTAGAGAAGGGTGTGCGAAATGACGGTGGGGAAAAAATGGTAGGGAAAAAGTTTTGGGGTGGATAGACGAAGAAAAAGGGTGGCGAGGGGGAAGAGGCCAAAGGCAGTCGGGAAAAGAAGGTGGGGAAATAATGGTGGGAGACAAAGGTTTGGGGTAGAATTTTTTTAAAATCAGATTATTTGTATTTTTGCTTTTGAGTAGTTTGAGTTCTTTATATATTTTGTGTCTTAACCCCCTTGACTGATGCATAGTTTGCAAATACCTTCTTCCTTTCTCTGGGTTGTTGCTTCTACTGATTGCTTCCTCTGCTTTGCAGAAGCTTTTAAGTTTAATGTAATTACAACTTTGCTTTCGTTGCTTGTGCTTTTGACAAGTTTAATGTAAATACATCTTTGCTTTTGTTGCTTGTGCTTTTGATGTCTATTAGAAAATTCCTTGTCCTAACCGATTTCATGAAGCATTTATCCTATGTTTTCTTCTCTAGTAGTTTCATAGTTTCAGGTCCTACAGTTAAATCTTTATTTTGAGTAGACTTTTGTATATGGTAAGATAACAGCCTAGATGTATTCTTGTACATGTGGGTGTTGGGTTTTCCCAGCACAGTTTATTGAAGAGATTGTCCTTCCCGAATGTGTGTTCTTGGTGTTTTTGTTAAAAATGAGTTGACTGTAAATGAGTGAATTTATTTCTGATTTCTCTATTCTGTTTCATTTGTCTGTCTGTCTGTCATTCCTTTGTTTCTCTATCTCTCCCCCGCCCCTTTTTTAAATCATGCCATGCTATTTTGATAGTACCTGCCTTACTATAGATTTGTAATATATTTTGAAATCAGGTTATGTGATGACTCCAGCTTTTCTTTTTATTCCAGATTCTTTGATCTATTTGAAGTATCTTGCATTTCCATGTGAATTTTAGGATATTTTTTTCTGTGTGAAGAATGTCTTGTAATTTAACACGGATTGTATTGATTGTGTAGATCACATTGGGTGATACAGATATTTCAACAATATTCTTCTAGTGCATGCACGTGGAATATCTTTTCATTTACTTGTGTCTGCTTTAATATCTTTCATCTATGCTTTATAGTTTTCATTGTGGATCTTTTGTCTTTTTGGTTACGTTTATCCCTAGATATCATTTTATTGGTAATGAAATAGATTTCATGATTTCTTTCTTAGGTATTTCACTATTGGTGCAAGAGTGTGCTACTCATTTTTATATATTGATATTGTATCTTGCAACTTGACTAAATTTATTATTTCTAGTAGGTTTTTTGTGGAATCTTTAGGTTCTCTTTCTGCATATGATCATGTCCCTTGCAAACAAAGACAGTTTGATTTCCTTTTTTTCCAGTTTGGGTGTCTTTCATTGCATTCTGCTGTCTAATTGCTCTACCTAAGACTCAGTACTATGATGAATAAAAGTGGTGTAAAAGTAACCACACTTGTTCCAAATCTTAGAGGAGGCGCTTTTAACTTTTCCCCGTTGATTATGATGTTAGCTGTGGGTTTGTCATAGATGGCCTTTATTGCGCTGATATATGTTCCTTCTGTACTCATGTTGTTCAGTTTTTGTCATGAAGGAATGTTGATTTTTTTTCAGCATTTACTGAAGTGATTATATGGTTTTTGTTCTTGATTCACTGAATGTGATGTTGCACATTTATTTATTTGTGTTTATTGAATCAGCCTCATATTCCTGGAATGAATTCCACTTGATCATGGCAGATCATCTTTTTATGTGTTGTCAAATGCAATTTTCAAGTATTTTGTTGAGGACTTTTTGCGTCTGTGTTCATCAGGGATATTTACCTATGGTTTTCTTTTTGTGTTGTGTCCTGGTTTGGCTTTTTGTACCAGGGTCGTGCTGTCCTCATAGAACAAGTTTTGAAGCCTTCATTCCTCTTCATTTTTTTGAGGAATATTTTGAGTAAAATTGGTATTAGCTCTTTTAAACATGTTTGGTAGAATTCAGCAGTAAAACCATGATTATTGTGTTTTTCTTTGATGGAAGACTTTTTATTACTGCTTTAATTGCATTACTCATTATTGTTCTGTTCAAGTTTTTTATTTCTTCATCATTCTATCTTGGGAATTTGTTATGTGTCCAGAAATTTATTCATTTCACCTAGATTTTTCAATTTGTTTTTATATAGGTGTTTTTAATAATCTCTTACCATCCTTCGTATTTCTGTGTTATCAGTTGTAATGTCTCCTTTTTCAGCTATGATTTTGTTTCCTTTTTCTTTTCCTTAGTCTAGTTAAAGCTCGTCAGTTTTGATTTTTTTCTTAAAAATCCCAATTCTTTGTTCCGTTGACTTTTTGTATTTTTTGTTTCTATTTTTAAATTTTCCTCTTTAATCTTTATGATATTTTTTCTACTAATTTTAGCATTTTATTTTTCTTGTTTTTCTCATTACTTCAGGTGTACTGTCATGTTGACTATTTGAGATCTTTCTACTTTTCTGATGTAGGCATTTGTAGCTATGCACTTTTCCTCTTACAACTGCCTTTGCTGCATCCCACAGGAATTTTTATGTTTTGTTTCCATTCTTATTTGTTTCAATAAATTTTTAATTATTTTATTTATTTGTTTATTGGTTGTTCATGAGCATGTATTTTAATTTCCATATATTTGTACAGTTTTTAAAGTTCTTCCTGTTACTGATTTCTAGTACTAGTTCACTGTGGTCAGAAAAGATACTTGATATGATTTCAGTTGTTAAAAATGTGTTGTGACTTGTTTTTTGGCCTAAGACATAGTCTGTCTTGGAGAATAATCCATGTGCTACTCAGTGGAATGTGCGTTGTGCAGTTGTAGAGTGCATAGCTGTGTAAATATTAAGTCCATTTGGAATAGAGTACAGTTTAACTGATGATGTTTTGTTGTCTGGATGATCTGTCCATTGATGATAGTGGGGTGTTGGTTATAGTGGAGCATTGAGGTATTCTATTACTGTATTGCAGTCCATCTGTCCTGTAAGGTCTATTGATATTTGCTTCTGTATTTAGTGCTTGAGTGCTGGTTACATATGCACTTACAATTGTTATGCTGCTGTTTACTTCTTTCTGATTATATGATTATCTTCATTTTTTTTCCTTTTTTGACTGAAAGTCTGTTTTATGTAAGTAGAGCTACTACTGCTTTTTCTGTTTCCATTGGTATGGGATATCTTTTATCATCCCTTCACTTTCAATCTATATGTTATATATGTCTTTATAGGTGAACTGAGTTTCTTGTAGGTAGTATATAATTGGGTCTTATTTTTTAATCCATTCAACCCCTCAGTCTTAATTAGAGAATTTAATTGATTTATGTTCAAGGCTTTTACTAACAGGTAAAAACACACTACTGCCATTTTTTACTTGTTTTCTGGTTGTTTTGCTACTCTCTCTTTTTTCTTTTGTTTCTTCTCTCTTCCTTCCTCTTTCTCTTCTCTCTGATCTCTCTCTTTCTTCCTTTCTTTTCTTTCCTCCTTCCATTCCTTCCTGTCGTTATTTGTAGTGAGGTAATTTTTTCTGGCAGTGTGTTTTAATTCCTTGCTTTTAATTTTTAGGGTGTCTGTTATCGATTTTGTTTTCTGGTTACCATGAGGCTAAACAACATAATTATAACAAATTATTTTAAACTGAAGAAAACTTAACTTTGATTGGTCTCAGCTACTCAGGAGGCTCAGATGGGAGGACTGCTTGACGCTGGGAAGCCGAGGTTGCAGTGAGTTGAGATCGTGCCACTGCACTCTCCAGCCTGTGTAAGTGACAGTGAGACCTTGTCTCACAAAATAAATAAATAAATAAAAATGCAATAGCTTATAATGAATTCTGATGGTAAATTTTGAGATGATGATTGATAAGGTACAAAAAGGAAAGTGAAAATCATTCGTAATCTCATTACCCAAAGATAACTACTACTAATGTTTTGGTACATATGCTTCCTACTTCATAACCCTCTCTCCCTCACACACACACACAAATGTACGCATCCAATAGATAACATTTTACACACAAATATAATTTTATTGTAACTTTTTAAGAAAAACAACTTTGTAATTTTTTATTTAAAATATTGTGAATATCTTTTGTGAATAATATTCATATAAAATATTATACATCTTAGGCCAGGTGCGGTGGCTCATGCTTGCAATCCCAGCACTTTGGGAGGCCGAGGTGGGTGGATCATGAGGTCAGGAGATGAAGACCATCCTGGCTAACACAGTAAAACCCCGTCTCCACTTAAAAAAAAAATTGCCGGCCAATTCTCTTCTGCCCTCCCCGTCTCATGAAGCCGCTGGTAGTGTTCGTCCTCGGCGGCCCCGGCGCCGGCAAGGGGACCCAGTGCGCCCGCATTGTCAAGAAATATGGCTACACACACCTTTCTGCAGGAGAGCTGCTTCATGATGAAAGGAAGAACCCAGATTCACAGTATGGTGAACTTATTGAAAAGTACATTAAAGAAGGAAAGATTGTACCAGTTGAGATAACCATCAGTTTATTAAAGAGGGAAATGGATCAGACAATGGCTGCCAATGCTCAGAAGGATAAATTCTTGATTGATGGGTTTCCAAGAAATCAAGACAACCTTCAAGGTTGGAACAAGACCATGGATGGGAAGGCAGATGTATCTTTCGTTCTGTTTTTTGACTGTAATAATGAGATCTGTATTGAACGATGTCTTGAGAGGGGAAAGAGTAGTGGTAGGAGTGATGACAACAGAGAGAGCTTGGAAAAGAGAATTCAGACATACCTTCAGTCAACAAAGCCAATTATTGACTTATATGAAGAAATGGGGAAAGTCAAGAAAATAGATGCTTCTGAATCTGTTGATGAAGTTTTTGATGAAGTTATGCAGATTTTTGACAAGGAAGGCTAATTCTAAACCTGAAAGCATCCTTGAAATCATGCTTGAATATTGCTTTGATAGCTGCTATCATGACCCCTTTTTAAGGCAATTTTAATCTTTCACAACTACATCTCAATTAGTGGCTGGAAAGTACATGGTAAAACAAAGTTAATTTTTTATGTTCTCTTTTTTGGTCACAGGAGTAGACAGTGAATTCAGGTTTAACTTCATCTTAGTTATGGTGCTCACTAAACAAGGGTATCAGCTAGTTTTTTTTTTTAATTCAAAAAGAATATCCCTTTTATAGTTTGTGCCTTCTGTGAGCAAAACTTTTTAGTACGCATATATATCCCTTTAGTAATCACAACATGTTAGGATTTAGGGATACCCGCTTCCTCTTTTTCTTGCAAGTTTTAAATTTCTAACCTTAAGTGAATTTGTGGAGCAAATTTCAAAAGAACTTTTTGTGTAGTCAGTTCTTGCACAATGTGTTTGGTAAACAAACTCAAAATGGATTCTTAGCAGTGTTTTAATATTTATCAAATAACTGACCATTTACTATAGAAAGGTGAAAAAACTTAAGCTTTGTTTTACTACAACTTGTACAAAGTTGTATGACAGGGCATATTCTTTGCTTCTGAGATTTGGGTTGGGGGCACTAGGGGTTCAGAGCCTGACAGAATTGTCAGCTTTATTCTGACATAATCTAAGGGTATGGGGCAAGGATCACATCTAATGCTCATGTTCCTTATACTCTGTTATATAGTATTATTCATGATTCAGCTGATCTTAACAAAATTCCAGCAGTGGAACCTTGAAATGCATGTGGCTAGATTTATGCTAAAATGATTCAGTTAGCATTTTAGTAACACTTCAAAAGTCTTTTTTCTTTGTTTTCTAGACTTAATAAAAGGTTAGGATTAATTAGAAGAAGCAATCTAGTTGAATTTCCCATTTGTGTTTTATTTTCTTGAATACTTTTTTCATAGTTATTTGTTTAAAAAGATATAAAATCATTGCACTTTGGTCAGAAAATTAATAAATATATCTTATAAATGTTTGATTCCCTTCCTTGCTATTTTTATTCAGTAGATTCTTGTTTGGCATCATATTGAAGCACCAAAAGATAAATGATTTTTAAAAGGCTTTAGAGTCCAAAGGAATATTCTTTTACATCAATTCTTCCTTTAAAAATCTCTGAGAAATTTGTTTTCACCTTACTTTTTTTTTTCCTCTGTCACCAATGCTGAGTGGTATCCAAGATTCTTAATATGAGATTTAAAATCTTAAAATGTTTCTTATTTTCAGCACTTACATCATTTGGTACACAGGGTCAAATAGGGCAAATAATTTTGTCTTTGTATAATTAGATTTGATAGTTAAAGTCACTGGAAATAGTGAGGACAAGTTAATGGATTTTTTATATTTTAATAGAATCATTTCTATGTGTTATGAAATTCACTTATTAATGATAAATTTTTCAACATACTTGCCATTAGAAAACAAAGTATTGCTAAGTACTGTAACATACTGGCCACCAAAATTCGTATTGAGATGATCTTGGTTTCTTGGAAGAGATAGGAATGAGTTCTTATCTAGTGTTGCAGTCCAGCAAATACAGAGGTGGTTTAATCAAACAACTCTAGTGTGAAGCAAGAGTAAAGACTAAGGTTTCGAGAGCATTCCTACTCACATAAGTCAAGAAATCTGTCAGATAGGAATCTAAGTATTTATAGTGAGATTGTGAAAGCAACCTTAAAGTTTTGAAGGACTGTTGAGACTAGGTGCTTTGCTTCCTTTCCTCAGATATCTTTCTGTGGCATTTGAGAACAGAAACCAAGAAACACGGTAATTACTAAATTATGAGGCTTTGCTTTTTGTTTGCTTTTAAGTAGAAAAACATGTTGGCAACATTGAGTTTTGGAGTTGATTGAGATAATCAGACTTAACTAGTTTTGTCATTCCATTTGTTAAAGATACAGTCACCAATAATTTTTTGAGTTTTTTGAAAGACCCCAATTTAAGCCTTGCTTATTTTTAAAAATTAAGTTATTTCCATTCAGTGATGTTGGATGTATATGAATTATTTAGTAAATAATCTCAATAAATTTTGTGCTGTGACCTTTAAAAAACAAAAAAAATAGCCGGACATGGTGGCACATGCCTGTAGTCCCAGCTACTCAGGAGGCTGAGGCAAGAGAATAGCTTGAACCTAGGAGGTAGAGGTTACAGTGAGCCGAGATCGTGCCACTGCACTCCAGCATGGGCGACAGAGCAAGACTCCATCTCAAAAATATGTATATGTTATACATCTTAGTTTTAAGATTGTGGTTTCTGCTCTTTGGGGTGGCAGGTACACTTCTTGCTAAAATGAATCATCTCAGTGTCTTTGATTTTCCTTCTCTCCCCTAGGCTATTGCTCTTGGAAGGGGGCCCTGGATCTCCCTCCTGTTTGCTTGGGGGCAAACAGATAGTATCATGGGGTTATGAAAATGTTGCCTGCGCCACATAGCAACCCTGGCTCCAGTTCTGAAAATAAAGGTAACGTAGGAGTTTTTGCTCTCTGATTAATACTAAGATGTAAATAAAGTGGTTTTAGATCATTGTAGCAAATGATTTAGATGTAACTCTGTGTTCCTTTTAATTAAGAGCTCAGGATTTCTACACAGTATGTTCATTGCCTGCTTTATCAGTAAAAGTATAGTAGAGATGGGGTTTCACCATGTTTCTCAGGCTGGTCTCGAACTCCTGACCTCAGTGATCCACCCTCCTCAGCCTCCCAGAGTACTAGGATTACAGATGTGAGCCACCACACCCGGCTGTCACCTTCTTACTTAGATGGAGTCTTGTGTGAAACACACCATGGAACTCATGTTCACTTACAGCTGGGAAAGGCTGACCACCTTGTGTGACGAGATTGGAGCCTGTGTATCTCCGCATGTCCTCAGGCCTGCTGGCGGGGCGGGGGCTCCCTTGTCCTCTTATGCAGAGGAAGGACGGGGCGGGGGCTCCCTTGTCTCTTATGCCAGAGGAAGATGGCATGTGTTGAGAGCCAGCCTGGAGGTGGTACATAGTAACTGCCCAGCCAGTGGAACCCAGCAGGAAAGTGAGAACTGTTCTTTTCATCCTTTTTTTTTTGTTGTTGTTGTTGTTGTTGATACAGAGTCTCACTCTGTTGCCTAGGCTGGAGTGCGTGGCATGATCTTGGCTCACTGCAACCCCTGCCTACTGGGTCCAAGTGATTCTTTTGCCTCAGCCTCCAAGGAGCTGGGATTACAGGCGCCCACCCAATGTCCGGCTAATTTTTGTATTTTAGTAGAGACAGGGTTTCACCATGTTTTCCAGGTAGGTCTCGAACTCCTGGCCTTAAGAGAGCTTACCACCTTGGCCTCCAAAGTGCTGAGATTACAGGCATGATCCATCACGCCCATCTAGAACTTAGTTTTCCTTTTCTCTTCCTTTTCTTTACTTTTCTTTCTAAATTTGACACAGGATCTTGTTCTGTCACCCAGGCTGGAGTGTAGTGGTGTGATCGCGGCTCACTGCAACATCCATCTCCCGGCTCAAGCAATTCTCCTGCCTTAGCCTCCCGAGTATGCTGGGATCGCAGGTATGTGCCACTATGCCCAGCTAATTTTTCTTTGTATTTTTAGTGGAGACAGGCCAGGCTAGTCTTAACTCCAGACTCAACTGATCCACCTGCCTCGGCTTCCACAAGTGCTGGGATTCCAAGCATGACCCCACTGGTGCCTGGCCAAACTTCCCTTTTTCTTCCATTTCTTGGTATTTGGAAGTGAGAGCCATGGAACAGCCGGTGTTTTCAGCTGGTCCAGACCAATCTGTTATGCTCGTAAGGCTTCTAGCTGAAGGAAGTGTCCACCCTGCACAGTCTCGCTGGCATCCATCCCATCCACCTCCAGAAGCCAGGACGCCCAGCGTGTGTGTGCTCTGGCCCCACACTGAGCCTGTGCTCGGGGTGCTTCTCTTGCCAGTTTCCCCCCACCCATTGTTTTGGGTGAGGTCCCTGCCGGCTGGCATGGAAACAAGGTGGGGAGTGGTCACCACTTGTGGTTTGTGGCAGAGTGGAGTTGGTTTTGGGGCTGCCCTGCCTAGGCCTGGCTCCCATGGTCCTCCCACTGGCTGCAGCTCCAGCCCTTGCCCGTGTCTCGCATAGCTTCCTGCCCAGCCCCCGCACGGCAGCCTTCCGAGCACCAGAAATGCGCACAGGACCAACAGAACTCCAGTGGTCCCCTCCCCTATGACCTTTACATACAGCTGTAAGTTGGCCTGGGCCCCACAGCCCCATCC